TTAGCAAATACTGTTTTTCCTTACAGCAATTTCTCCAGTATTTTACATATCAATCAAGTAACTTGTCTGTCCCTTTGCTGTGTTACAGACTTTAGCCTGAGGAAAGTTTCCTGTCTTTTGCAAAGTTAACATTTCTATATGTAATTCCAAAAGGTGAGGCTACACCCAAGACTGCAGGGCTTTGGAGAATAGGCCCTGTGAAATACATTTGCTTTATTAATATTGGTATACTCCACATGTGCCAGCAGGAATAAGTATTAAACCCAAAATGGTAAAGTACCATATTGTGGTACAATGCACACAGGCTTGTGTCATACAGGTGGACCTGGGTTCAGATCACAGGTTTTCCACTTACTCACTGAGAAACCTCATCTGTAAAATATGAATAATAAAGGGTGAAGGTTAATGTATCTACCAGATGCTTACTAAATAGTGGCTGTCATTTTCATCATTACCATCCCTAGAGTGTAACCCATTGGTGACCTGATTCAATGGGATTTCACACTGTTGCCCTAATTTGATGTTCTTTATTTCTAGTAAAATAATAATGTTAGCAATGGCTTGTCATGTGTAAAATACAACAGAAAGGGGTGGATGAAAAGAGAAAGCCTGAGGCTAGCCTGCTTATTTCTGCTTCTACCTTTAATCATTAGGCTGGATGTAGGAAAACAGGAGACAGAACACAGTAAAAACAAATGAAAGAAAACTGATTGAAATTAAAAAAACTGCTATTACAGAAGAACAGCTTCCTTTTAAAACAAGTCATTAACTATTGTTCAGTGTATTTCTTCATTATTTAGAGAGTCAACATCTCTGGAAAAGATAATTTACATAAGTGAGTAGAAAGAATGGCTTTTATCAAGTAGTTTCCATAGCCACCTATTTTAAGATTTCATAAAATATTATAATTCAGATTAAAGAATAATGTGTCATTACATGGGAATTTCTTTTCCTAATTTTTATTATCTTTAGGGGGTGGGGGAGAAGGCCATATCTCTCCTGCAAAAAAACCCAGCAAAAGATTTATGAACCTTATTCAACATTGCTACAGTATGCTGTTTGAAATTCACAGCCTTGAACAAATGAATAAATATTCATCACTCTGCTTTCTTTCCTTCTAGGTGCCTCCCTTACTCCTTGATAAGCAGTTCTCTGAATTCACTCCCGACATTACACCAATCATTTTGGCAGCCCATACCAATAACTACGAGATAATTAAACTTCTGGTTCAGAAAGGAGTCTCAGTGCCCCGACCCCACGAGGTCCGCTGCAACTGCGTTGAGTGCGTGTCCAGCTCAGACGTGGACAGCCTCCGTCACTCCCGCTCCAGACTCAACATCTACAAGGCCTTGGCCAGTCCCTCTCTCATCGCACTGTCAAGCGAAGATCCCTTCCTCACGGCCTTTCAGTTAAGCTGGGAGCTTCAGGAACTGAGCAAGGTGGAGAATGAGTTCAAGTCAGAGTACGAGGAGCTGTCGCGACAGTGCAAGCAATTTGCTAAGGACCTGCTGGATCAGACGAGAAGCTCCAGGGAACTGGAAATCATTCTTAATTACCGAGATGACAATAGCTTGATAGAAGAACAAAGTGGAAATGATCTCGCAAGACTAAAATTGGCCATTAAGTACCGTCAGAAAGAGGTGAGTGTGGTCAGGCTTGATCCATCAAAACTCCATAGAATTTAAACACAGTGAAGGAAAGTGCGACTTGCAAACCTAGTTTTGGGTTTTAGAGCATTTTCTAGTTCACTGTAAGTGGATGACATTTATTGTTTGCCAGATTAATAATTATGAATCACACTGAAGAGTGGTAATAAGTGGTTTAATAATAAGTGATGCTTTTTGGCCTCTGTGTTAAAATATACACATTTACTGTGGTATAATGGAAAAACTAATGAATTTTAGAATCTCCAGAGTGAGAGTTCTAGCTCTGCCATCTGTAAATCTTGTAACTTTAGAACTCTTTGCTCTTCAGTTTTCTCATTTGCTTAATTAACTTAATATTCATAATTTTTTATATGTGAATATTTAAATATATGAATATTTGATATATGTATGAACGTATATCAAATATTTTCCTCATAGGTTCATAGGAAGTGTAAAGTATGTGGATGTGTGTGTGT